ATATAAATATTATATACACATACATACATACAGGGATTATCATGCTGCATACAGTACTGAATCTTATTACAAATGTTGACTATATTCAAGAATCTGCAGGCTTTTACACTAACTCCAGGGCCTTTAAGTTGTCCATTGTGTTTTATTCCAGAATTTGTAGTTATTAAGAAAAACTATTTCTCCACTGGGGGCTTAGTGAGACCCAAAACAGAATTTCTGTTCACCTTTAGTTCCAGTAGGCCTTATTAATTGTTTAATTCCATCATTTTAATAAAATATTATTCTATGTAATTTTTTCTAACTACTGTTTAATCATTTATGCATTTTGATGTAAATGCACGGCACATAAAGTTCTGATAGTATTTTAAGAATAAAATTTAATTCTAGAAATGTTATCAATGGAAAGTTTAAAAGAGTCAAGAGACTGAGTAGAGTTACTGCTTTCAGGAATGTATGGGAATGACTGAGATCATGAGTGAAAAAATAAACAAACAAACCAACAAACCCACACAGCTACTATGCGGGGTGAGACCAGAAACTTGGGTGTGAGTCTTATAATATAGTGTCAAGATTCGGGTTTCTATTATTTTGATTCTCTGAAAAGGCAAGATTAAGACAAGAAGTGACCATAAATTGACTTTTTATTTTATCTACTATGAGGAAGACCAGGAAGAGGAAGCTAAAATACAACAGAACAGATGGCTAAGAAAACAGTGTATCTCTTGTGATATCAATCTATAATTCAGAATTTGCCTGCAGTGCATCACTTGATGTTTTGCTGCATGCTTAAAGGATTTAATTTCTTGTTTTGTTACTGTTTTGTACGAGTTGAATTTTTCCTTTTTTACATTTCTTTATGCAAATCAATCCATCTAGAACTTTCAAATACTTTTGTCAGAGGACTAAATCTACTTCCTCCTTGCCTTGCCATAGGACTGGGAAAAAAGCCTGTAAAATCAATCGCACATTTTTACAACTCTTGTCTACACAAAGAACTATGATTAAGTGCCATTTGTAGAGGTGAAAGATGAAGAATTTCTCAGCTTTTTGAATCAAATCATAAGATGTGTGTTTAAGGATTTCACCACCATTTTTTTGTTGTTGTTATTTAGATAAAGTCAGACTCTGCGGAACAAAATTGTACTTATAGAAAGCTAAGTCAATGAAAACGAGAAAGAATAAAGCTTTATTTATTCAACAAATATGCATTCCACCTTTAATATATCAGGTCATATCCTAGGAGATAAGGATAAACCATTTAGCAAAACAGAAAAAAAAATCATCCAATAGAGACAAATATAGAGGCAAGTACAAGAAAAAATGCAATCATAATTGCAACATAAATTGTGACACAGTATATGTGAAGAAAAAATTTAATTTAAGAGGCTGTTTCATAGAGATTGACCTATGAATTGAGGCTAAGCATAATGATATAATTCAAGTCTCTGAATTGAGCCATTTCTAATCATATCTGCCTTGAACTTCTAATATTTTAAACCAATAAATTTGCTTTCCTCAAGTCAGATTATACTGTGCTTCTTTCACATGGAAAAAAAATGGTATTCAGAAGTCTCCAACCTTTTTGGCATCATGGACTAGTTTCCTGGAAGAGAATTTTTCCATGGAGGAGATGGTGAGGTGGGATGGTTTCAGGATGGTTGAAGTGCTTTACACTTATCTTGCACTTTACTTTTATTCTTATTACATTATATCTTTTTTTCAGCTTTAATTGAAATAGGAAGAAAATGTGCAAAATGGAAGGGCAAAGGAAAGGGGTAGGGGAAAAGAAAGATGGGAATGGAATTAAATGAGAAAAAGAAAAAATAGAAACAAAGTCTTTGTAGGTAGGGAGGGGTGGAGGGGTTGAAGGGAGGACAGGGGAATGGGGAAAAATAAGAATCACATTGGATTATGTAAAGGTGCAAATTTCCAATGATTAATGTCATTATATTGTATACCTAAATGTACCAATAAAATTAATTATTTAGCACATCAGGTGACCAAGAAATCTACAAACTCAGCTGCTATTAGAAAGTATGGTTGTGAATGTTTCAAAATTGCTGGACATAGCAGAAGCTGTTGTTTGGTCTCTCTTGGTTATCTGTGATGATTTGTGGTATAATTGGTAAGAAAATGACTGAATCGGGAACTGCCTCATTTGGGAATTTTTGCTGTTTCAAGGGCAGCTGTTGGAAACTGCTAACAAGGACAGTTTCTGCTGGGAGCCACGGAAGTGGGAAAGGCTTTCTTACTGAGTGCCTTCCGTTGTCTCTGTCACCCTTTGCGACACTTATGAAACCTGAAGGGACAGTACAGAAGGTGGATTTTTCCCATAATATTCTCATAAAGGAGGGTGAATAAAACTTTCTAAGCAACTTGGTGGTCTAGAAAATGTGTTGCCTGAATCCAGCAATAGAGAACTTGACTTTTAGCCCTATTTCAAACCCATGGTAGGGAGACATTGGTACATAACTACAGATAGGCACTTAACTGATCTTTCTCCAGATGCAACCCTCTCTCAGCTATCTTGAATCAGACTGTCAGTGAGCTGCAGGAATAGAGGGAATAATTGGGGAAGGTACCCAAGCTCTCTAGGATGTTTTAGCCTCAATGGTTCACACCTATTTTCTACCCCTGGAGACTGGCAGTTGGTTGGAGATCTTTCCATTTTCATAAGGGTAGGGAAAAGCAGATTTTCATCTCTATCTTGTGCTCTTAAACACTCCACAATTTTTCTTCAGACTCATATCTGAGCTTTATTACTTGATTATTTCCAGCTTTCCAGAGAAAACATCACTCCGTACCCTCCCTTGTACTCTCCTCGCATTTTTCCTTTCTTGCTACAACAGCTGGCTCTCCAGATTATTGATGAACCTAGGCTAAAGGGGAAAACTTTACTTCTCCACTGGCAACGATTAAGCCAAGTTTTATTTGTCCCATGAAGCACAAGGAAGAAAGTTTCTCCCTAATGGGAAATACTTCAGCAAAGAATGCCTTAAGTTCTTTTTTTCTTTTTGGTACCGGGGATCAAACTCGGGACTTCACGCTTGTGAGGCAGGTGGCCGAACCACTGAGCTAAATCCCCAGCCCCTCAAGTCTTGTATTAGAGACTTTCTGTATTCACCTTCCTTTCCTTAATTAACAATAGCCTTTAGCATCTAACGGGCCCTCAGGGAACCTCGGCATGAAAACCAACTAATAGCCAATGCTAATTTTTTTCCCCTTTCCTCTTTTCCCTACTGGAGCTGTGAGATTTATAGTCATGCATTCCCTTTGATTATTGAGAAAAGATGGACTTAGTCCAAAAATAATGCTGCAATAATGGCTCCCTGGGGTTTTGAAAACTGTGACTATCAACCAATGTATTGGGGCATAACTAATAAGAGACAAAAATAATTTTTTAGTAATGCTTTGGGGTATAATTCTCAGGATTCTCAGCAGAGAAGGTAGGAATACAGCTTTGGGTGCTGACGAATCAGTGGTAGAAAGCAGTGGAATAGTGTTTTGAAGATAGAAATGGTTATGGTAATACTGGATTCAGCTAGGGAGCATAAAAAATTGAATGAAGATAGTATTTGAATCTTCAGATAAAGGGGTGACAGTCATCAGCAATAATTTTAGAAATGCTCTAATTTTCTCACAAGCTTTAGTCTGCCTATCTAGTTTATCGGTGGTAGTGAAAAAGTGTGTCAGGGAAGACACCATCTACTATTTTATTAATAGATAATTATTTTATTACTATTTTTTGTTTTTATAATTATTAATAGAAGATAGGATAGGGCTTAGGGGAAGATAAAGTATCACAAACCATGCTGTAACTGGCACCAGGAGGGCTTTTTTCAAGTGTCATGAAATATGCTGCTGGTGCCGACTCCCTCTCTATTATCTCTGAAAGAACTCTTTAAGAAATCTTCCCTGGATAATTTAAAAAGAAAAGACAGATAGGTATAACTTTCTGTTAATAATGGGCTTTCAATACTTGATGCATTTATCTTCCATTCTTCAACATCACATGAACGTTGCATCCAGTGACAAAAGTATATTAGAAAAATCTCTTTAACAATGTAAGAGTGAAAAGAATTGTCTAACCAAGCTGTCTCTTTTTACAGAACTTCTGCTTGTTTTAAAGCACCATTATCCTAACATTCGGTGGACAAATAATTTATTGTATAATTTTCAAAGATGGGAACTGAGGAGGTAAATAAATTGAATTTCTTAAGGAAGACCCTAGTGGTATCTGCTTTCTTAATTAATATGTAAATATTGTGAGAAGCTAGTGAGGTGGGCATGACTGGGGGAATTCAGAAAATCTAGACCAAGCTCCTATTTGCAACTAATTGGGCGTGTGATAGATTATCAGGTAGGCACTATAGTTATAACAATTCAATATGATCCCGTAGGCTGCAGACTGGATATCTCTTCCCATATATCTCCTTCCTAGGCGAAAATACCACCATCCCTTTCATGGACTTAAATAATATCTTTTAACATATGCCTGTTAAAATTTTTAATTCAATGTTTAATTATGTATTACCAGATATTTAATAATCAATTAAGCAAATAGCCTCTAAGTGGTAATTTGGTTTTAGAGTTTATGAGGGATACAAAATTTCTCCAGAGCATTTACACTCTGGTACGTATTAAGAAAGAGGGAACTATTTTCACGATATATCCAGCACATAATAAAAATTTTCTAAATAAATTAAAGGAAAATTTATAACACTCTTAACTTTAGAAAGCAGAGCATCACAAGGTTGCATTTTCTAACTGAGTGATCAACAACAGATGAAAAGTGAATAGAGATATTCCAGGCAAAGGAAAAATGATGAGTTAAAAACAAAGAGGAGAGAGCTGCAAAGTTAAGAAAATTGTCTTTCTGCAGAAAAACTATCTCATTTTTAGGCACTTTGGGAAAGGAGAACGGAATTCATGAAGAAAGCTGGGTGACCTTTAGCGTCACTCCTGATTAGTTATGGTACTTTGCTTGTACAGCCTTAAAATTTGCACAATACCGATAGTAAATGTTTTAATATCAATAAGTAAACACAATAATGAATAAGTTAGTGGAAGTGGTGACTTGTTTGTTCAGACAATATAGCAATTCTACCCGTTAGCCTACCAGTCATTATGACCCATTTGAATAGAGAGATGAACATACTTCTGCCCTGAGCCTTCTTTAGAATCCGAGGGAATCCAAAGTGAAAACACGCAAGCATGGGGACTGTGCCTCACGTGCGAGGACTCGGCCGTCAGGCGGCTTCTTCAGGGCAGCCACGTTAGCTAAAGGATGTTTGTTCTCTGTTTCACTTTCTTCAGATATTTTGGGGAAGGCCTTCTATCAATTTATTAAATTCAAATTTGACCTTAGTTGAATAAAGGGGAAAGGATCTGCCCACTCTTTAGCGAGGAGAATTTTGAGGAGCTGCAGCCCCTCAAGTCGGGTATCCTCGGTGCAGTAATAAATTGTGCTGGAAATGCAGGGAAAATGGGAGGAAGCTTGGGTCCCCCGGAAGAGCAGCCTGAGGGCTTAGATTTATTTCATTTTAAAGTCTAAAACTGTCATCCCTGAAAATTTATAGAATGGTCTGATTTTTTTTGGAAGATTGATAAACAGTGTCTGACCAAGACCTACTTAAGATGCGCTATGTCTTTTTTTTTAGGTACCGGGGATTGAACTCGGGTCCTTGCACTTGCAAGGTAGGCCACCGAACCGCTGAGCTAAATCCCCAGCCCGTGCTATGTCTAAATATGCATTAAGATCCTTCCAACTTCCTGCTAACCAAGAGGGTCAAAGACGTTGAGTGATTAGATAAAAGGGAACATAAAGTAAGCATTTTATGATTTTATGATTTTTAATGATTGTCATTAGCCCAGATAGGAGCTGGATTTGGATGTTGGTCTAGATCAGCAAAAGTAAAATGATAGGGTTTAAACATAAAAATGTAAAACCTCATGTAAATACATGCAAAGCATACCTAAAAGGAAACTTCAGAAATGTTAGCCACTTATTAAAAATTAAACAAAAGCTGATGCTTACTAATATCTTACAGTGTGCATACACACGGCAAAAGTGCTTTAATCTTCATAAAATTCCTAGGAAAGCTACTAGTCATATATTCATGTTGTAGAAGAAGAAAAAAGTCACAGAGGATTCTATTGGTGATGAAAAGCAGAGCTTGGACTGTTGCATAGAATATTTTCATTTTTTCCCTAATGGCCACTTGAAGTAGGCAAGGTAAAAGTCACTAAAAAGACAGGTAGTTCACCAGAAAAAAAAAGTGTACAGTGTTTTGAAACGACATTGTGAAATGACATGACCATTTCCTATGACCTAATGTAACTCCTTATCACTTCTCTGATTTATTGTTTTCTATAGTGGAGCTCCCTGCCTTTTCCTTGGTACAATGTGTGTGTGTGTTTGTTGTTGTTGTTGTTGTTGATTTGCTCATCTGTTTGTTTCTGTTCTCTGTAGGTTAATCTCTGGGATCAAGTAAAGCAGGCTAATGTCTCTTCTGTCACAGAGTTCCTGTTGTTGGGATTCTCCAGCCTTGGAAAAATCCAGCTTATTCTCTTTGCTCCTTTTCTGTGCCTATACATGATTATCCTGAGTGGAAATATCACTATTGTTACTGTCATCCGCCTGGATCCCAGTCTCCACATACCTAGGTACTTCTTCCTGGGGATCCTCTCCATCTCGGAGACATGCTACACCTTGGTGATCCTGCCTAAGATGCTCATAAGTTTGTTGTCTCTGCTTGGAACAATCTCATTCACCAATTGTGCCACACAGATGTGCTTCCTTGGTTTCGCGATCACTAATTGCATACATCGGAGGGTGATGGATTATGATCGCTATGTTGCCATTTTATGTGCTGGCAGATATGCGGACAACTGGCAGCTGCCTGTGCTGGGATTGGTTTTCTGTTCTCACTCCTAGGCTCCCTCTTAGTCTTTGAACTCCCTTACTGTGGACCAAACAAAATCAACCCCTACTTCTGTGATATCGCACCAGTCATCCGACTTGCCGGTACTGATACCTCTATCAATGAACTAGTCATCTTCATAGGTGGTCCCTATGTTCTCATGGTCCCCTTGACTTTCATTTGCTTCTCCTATGGCTTCATTGTTCAAACCATCCTGAGGATTCCATTGACCGAAGGCAAACGGAAAGCTTTTTCTACTTGTGCTGCCCCTCTCATTGCGGTTATTGTGCATTATGGCTGTACCTCCTTTGTCTATCTGCAGCCATCATCCAAGTACTCCTCTGGCAAAGACAGGCTAGTGACAGTGACCTACACTGTTGTGACTCCATTGTTGAACCCCATAGTGTACAGCCTCAGAAACAAGGACATTCAGGTGGCCATTCGGAAAATGATCGCCCAAGGAAGATTTTATATCAAAGCTATACAATGAGACTATTTCACACCTATGGAATCATCCTTTCTGAGGACACAGTAATAATTATAATGTTGATGATGCTCTTGCTTTCATTTCCAACCTTCATAGTGTAAGATTTCCATGGCATCCGTTTGATGATCGTTACGGCAGTCAGCCTTAAATTTGGGTTTATTGAAGATCAATTCCCAGTCTCAAATACTTTTCCAGCTTGTATAAATAAGTATTTAGATTTCTTGGGATAATTAAAGGATGATTTTAGTCTCTTAAGTAAGTATAAGTAAAATATTGTGGATGTCAGTAGAAAAACAAAAGGCTCAACTATCACAACTTTTATGTGGCTGAGGAAAAATTTAGTAAGGCCCTTCACAAATAATCAATATGGTAGAAAATTATCACTAACCAGGAATGACTAGTGTCAGGAGGAATCCAGGTTGATCACTTCTACTGTTCTGTTACTTTAGGAAAAGCACCTAAAGCTTTCCATCTCAGCTGACACTGCACTGTTAAACAGCTCTAAATGTTATCATTAAAATTGCACTTTTGTATATCTTTCTCCCTTTGCCCCTGTTATCTCTAAATATGTATCTAATATTTCACCAACACACAAAAAAAGCAATCCAAATATTTGAAGATTTCACTTCTCTTTGGCTAAATTGGCATCCACTGTATTTCCACTAAAGAGACTAAAATCATTCTTTAAATCAGAGTTCACAGAACTTTCAAAATCTGTGTTATCTTTCTGTGGATTCTTCCTTGGATACTTGTATTCTGTAGATTAATAGTATTTTTGAAATGAGTCACCTGGTGACTAGGAATGATCACCTTCCTTATTCTGCAAGTCGATGTTATCTCAGTGCTGCCTGAATTTTATCTTCATACCAATTCTGCCACACAAGTGTTCTTCTCTGACCCTTAGTAGCTTACATTAAAGGGTTTAATATTAAGTATCAGCATTCCTATCATTATGAAAGCCATTGTTCATAGTTTTAAATTTGTAAAATTTGGCATTTGTTCTGTTAAATTTCTACCTGTGATTTTAGGCCCATAATTTTAAAACATCCAAGTTGTTTTTCCACATTTTATTTATAATATCCAATATACCAGTTGTCTCTGTATTGTTCCATTCTATCTTTTATTCTAGGCTTAAATAGTGAATAATATCTGTATTATATGGAAATAAAGTTAATAGTGACTGCATGGATTACAGTACTTATTTGTGCTCTGTGGCAGAGGGAACTGTGGGGGACCATCTTATTGATTATGCCCCACACAAGCTGTGACCAGTGCAAGCTGTAAAGAGTTAATTGCGTAATTGGCTTGTTTTGAGAAGCAAATCCAGCTGAAGCCAACATGATGAAGTCAGAGTAACTCTTCCCCAAATTCCACTGACAGAGTTAAAAGCTTCTTTACTAAAAAGGCAAGGTTAATTAACCACAACTTATCTTTTGTCTGTTCTGTTCCTAATTCAAGAATGCTTTGTCTTTTCCTTTGTAAGCCTTGCCTGCATCAGTAATGTGTGCACAGCAACTACACATCCTGTTTACTTTTATCTAACGATGATGTCACCAATAACTATGGACAGCTCTGGCTGTTCCGGGCCTCTGCTTGTTCAGCCGTAGTTGCACAAGCATTGGTCATTCTGGCTCCCCATATTTCTGTCTCTCTAACTCTGTCTCTGAGTCTTCTCTCCATGCACCATAGCACTGAGCAGGATATCAGAACCCATGAAGGGGCTCTTTATAGGGAAGCAGCCAAGGACTGGGTGTGAGAGTGAAGGGAATACGGCCAGGTGCTTTTCATCTTTGTCTTAGATACTTCAAAAAATAAAACCACTTGTCAGTAAATCTCTAGATTTACTCTCCATTTCAACAGGCTTCACACTTCACATCAGCTCCATTAGAGCGTAAGAATCACCACTAATATGTTTTTCTTCAATATTTGTTAGCTCCAAAACCCGGAAGGAAATACTTTTTGAGTGGATACATTTCTGGAAAGAATATGAGATTTACGGATGAAATAGAAGCAGTTAACTCATGATGTTGTAGGAATTCCCTGTATTGCTAAAGTATGTCAGGAACTCCATCACAATGAGAAAACCATAGGAAAAAAGGACTCGTCGTGAACTGGATTCAGATATCTTTCCATGTGCTCTTCTGATATAGCAGGGCCAAACATTATTATTTTGCTCCATGTCAAATGTGTCACACTGCCTACCACACACCTCTTACTATATGTAGTACCTTTGTGGTAGTGATAGCCTAGAACAGTTACTCCATTTATAACTACTCTTACAGCTGATGTTTCATTGGTCAAGGTAGTCTTCTTTTCCTCACTTTATCCAGAAAAAAAAAAAAATCCACCCTCAGGAAAATTCAGGAAAAGATATGGAGGCTGATATTTCCTAGATACAGAGATAATCCTAGAAATGGTTTGTTTCCTAACAAAATGTTTTTCTCAGCTGGGTATGGTGGGGAGAGTCTGGGAGACTGAGGCAGGAAGATCACAAGTTCAAGACCCAGACTGGCAATTTAGCTACTGTGTTGAGACCATGTCTCAAAATTTAATTAAAGGCCCACAAGTGAAGCCTAGTGTGAATACTCTCAGCTCTACCCCTGGCACTTAATAACATTGTTTTCTCATCTCTCCTTCACCAGACAGTTCTTTTCCTCATTATTTATCAGAGTATCAAGGTTTCCCACTGAATGTTAGCTTCAGAATTTCATTAGAGATGTCCGTTCTTTTTCAATGTTAATTTATAAAATACAAAAGGAGATGAAAGTTGTATGGCAAACTCCACCCTTAAAACTCTAGCAGGCTATCTGATACAGCATTCACCCTGAAGTCAGGAGAAATCTATCTAAAAAAATCAGCTTTTCACAATAAGCGAATGATCAAGACATTTCAAATGTACATCGAACTTAGGTAGGAAAATTTCTTTGTCTGAAAAATTAAACTTTTATTCTCTAGAGAAGCTGTTGTCCATGTTTTCAATGTTCTTTATAATGAAAAGTGGTCACTCTGTCCTTCTATAGTCCTCTGTCTTGCTCACAAACATAATGCCTTCTGATAATATCGTACCACACTTTAGAGAAAATGTAAGGCTCGCTGGAACTTTCTCTTTCTTGCACCACAACTGATTATTCAATGTTTCTCTGCAATCATATTATAACAGTGTCCTTTTTCGTGTTCTCCAATATTTCTTTTGCAAACTCTTTCTATTGTGTCCCTTCCTAATTTATTTTTTATTAGAACATGTTTGCAGTATATAATAATTACAATTATCTTGGGAAGTTGGTACATGTACACAATATTTATTGATGCTTCTTTAGTGCTTTTTTCTGTATTTTTTTATTTATTTATTTTTGTCTTGAGAAACAGATGTAGGTTCTGACATTCTGTGCATATGTTTGAACTTTTTCAGACTGAATAATTTCACACTGACTATATAGACTCCTATTACCTTCCAGTAATAGATCTAAAAGAGAGCTGGAACAACTAAAAGGAAGCTAAGGAGTTGATTGTAGAGACGTTCTTTTTATCCCTTGATGGGGGAAGGTTTCTTTTCTTTAACTAGAAAAAGGCAGCCATACTACAGATAGTGTAGATATTTTACAGATAAAATAAAGAGGACGAAGTTGGCTGACTCATAGCAATTCAGTAAATGAATAAAGTTGGCTTTATTTACTGTTTCATTGCCTATTTATTGGTAGTGGAAGATGCAAAGGTAAAAGAAAATTATTTCTGCTTTCAAAATATTGAATCTAAGGGCTTGGGATTTAGCTCAGTGGTTTGGTGGCCTGCCTTGCAAGCGCAAGGATCCTAGTTCGATCCCTGGTAAAAAAAAAAAAAAAAAAAAAAAAAAAAAAAAAAATTGAATCTATTACTCTGAATTTCTCGCACAAGTATGAAAGGGTTTTCTTTCATTAAACAAAAGCCACTGACAGTCCTATTTATACACATCATAATGAAGGCTTCCTTGCTCTTTCTGTGGCTTTCTTTCTGGCTTAGATTTTTGTTTTGTTTTGTTTTTCTCACTGAGTTTATTAGTACATTTTAGGTATACAATACAGTTACATTCATCATTGGGATCTTGTACCTTTACATGACAGGTCTTGGTTATCATTTTTTCCCCTTGTCCCTGCCCTCCCTTCACCCCATCCTCCCCTCTGTTCCCCATTTACAAACACTTTATTTCCATTTTTTCATTTTCTCATTTTTTTCCTTTTCCCTTATTACCTTTCCCCTACCCTTCCCACTTTCCCTACACCTTTAGCCCTTTTCTTCCTATTTCACATTGTCAATGATATCATTAGGATTTTATGTACTTTCATAGTTTTTCACACCAGAGAAATTATTCAGTAATTACATATGTGTGACTTACTTATTTCACTTAGGAGTATATCCTCAATATGTACCCATTTTCCTATGAATGAATCAAATTTCTCATTCTTTATGGCTGAGTAGTATTCCATTTTATAGAAAAGCCACACCTTCTTTATCCAGTCTCCAACTGATGGGCAAATGGGCTGTTTCCAAGTTTTAGCCATTACAAACTGTGCACATATATCACATCCTCACTGGAGGCAAGATAGTCTCTTTAATAAATGATGTTAGAAAAACTGGATTTCAACCTGGCAAAGATTAAAACTAGACCCTTATCTTTCACCATGCACTAAACTAAAATCCAAGTGGATTAAACATCTAAATATTAAAACAGAAACACTAAACTTGCTGGAAGATAAGTTATGCAGAACTCTTGAAGACATTGGCATAGGAAAAGACTTTATGAACAAATTCTCAGTAGCACAGGAACTAGCAGAAAGAATCAACAACTGGGATCTCATCTTATTAAAAAGCTCCTGCACTGCAAAAGAAACCATCAACAGAACTAAAAGACAACCTACAATGTGGGAAAAAAATTTACCAGCTGCTCCTCAGACAAAGGACTATTGTTTAGAATGTATAAAGAACTCAAAACAATCAATCCCCCCAAAATATAAAGACCCAATTCAAAA